GCTTCGTATGCTTTGTTGACCAGCTACCGAACAGGTGATGATGGCACGGAGGGAACGTATGCTTTGCTGACCAGCTACCGAACAGGTTATCATGGCACGGAAGAAACGTATGCTTTGGTGACCAGCTACCGACCAGGTTATCATGGCATGGCTGACTGTTCCACGGAAGAAACGTATGCTTTGGTGACCAGCTACCGACCAGGTTATCATGGCATGGCTGACTGTACAACGAAAGGAATGTATGCTTTGGTGACCATGGCATGACTGACTGTTCCACGGAAGAAACGTATGCTTTGTTGACCAGCTACCGAACAGGTTATGATGGCACGGAGGGAACGTATGCTTTGGTGACCAGCTACCGAACAGGTTATCATGGCATGGCTGACTGTACCACGAAAGGAATGTATGCTTTGGTGACCAGCTACCGAACAGGTTATCATGGCATGGCTGACTGTACCACGAAAGGAATGTATGCTTTGGTGACCAGCTACCGAACAGGTTATCATGGCATGGCTGACTGTACCACGAAAGGAATGTATGCTTTGGTGACCAGCTACCGAACAGGTTATCATGGCATGGCTGACTGTACCACGAAAGGAATGTATGCTTTGGTGACCAGCTACCGAACAGGTTATCATGGCATGGCTGACTGTACCACGAAAGGAATGTATGCTTTGGTGACCAGCTACCGAACAGGTTATCATGGCATGGCTGACTGTACCACGAAAGGAATGTATGCTTTGGTGACCAGCTACCGAACAGGTTATCATGGCATGGCTGACTGTACCACGAAAGGAATGTATGCTTTGGTGACCAGCTACCGAACAGGTTATCATGGCATGGCTGACTGTACCACGAAAGGAATGTATGCTTTGGTGACCAGCTACCGAACAGGTTATCATGGCATGGCTGACTGTACCACGAAAGGAATGTATGCTTTGGTGACCAGCTACCGAACAGGTTATCATGGCATGGCTGACTGTACCACGAAAGGAATGTATGCTTTGGTGACCAGCTACCGAACAGGTTATCATGGCATGGCTGACTGTACCACGAAAGGAATGTATGCTTTGGTGACCAGCTACCGAACAGGTTATCATGGCATGGCTGACTGTACCACGAAAGGAATGTATGCTTTGGTGACCAGCTACCGAACAGGTTATCATGGCATGGCTGACTGTACCACGAAAGGAATGTATGCTTTGGTGACCAGCTACCGAACAGGTTATCATGGCATGGCTGACTGTACCACGAAAGGAATGTATGCTTTGGTGACCAGCTACCGAACAGGTTATCATGGCATGGCTGACTGTACCACGAAAGGAATGTATGCTTTGGTGACCAGCTACCGAACAGGTTATCATGGCATGGCTGACTGTACCACGAAAGGAATGTATGCTTTGGTGACCAGCTACCGAACAGGTTATCATGGCATGGCTGACTGTACCACGAAAGGAATGTATGCTTTGGTGACCAGCTACCGAACAGGTTATCATGGCATGGCTGACTGTACCACGAAAGGAATGTATGCTTTGGTGACCAGCTACCGAACAGGTTATCATGGCATGGCTGACTGTACCACGAAAGGAATGTATGCTTTGGTGACCAGCTACCGAACAGGTTATCATGGCATGGCTGACTGTACCACGAAAGGAATGTATGCTTTGGTGACCAGCTACCGAACAGGTTATCATGGCATGACTGACTGTTCCACGAAAGGAATGTATGCGTTGGTGACCAGCTACCGAACAGGTTATCATGGCATGGCTGACTGTACCACGAAAGGAATGTATGCTTTGGTGACCAGCTACCGAACAGGTTATCATGGCATAACTGACTACCACTGAAGGCTTTGGTGACCGGCTACCGAACAGGTTATCATAGCATGGCTACCCAACATGTGTACACGGAAGGAACATATGCTTTGGTGACCAGCTACCGAACAGGTTATCATGTCATAGCTGACTGTACCGCGAAGGAAGGTATGCTTTGGGGACTGGCTTCCGAACATATTTTTGGCAAAGCTGACTGTACCACGGAAGGAACATATGAAGGATGGATACAAGAGGGATAAAGATAAGTAGTAAGACCTGGTGAATGACTGTCAGGACCTGGTGTCTGCCAGTTGTGGAACAATGCAGGATTTTTTGCAGCACAGTCGGAGTTCCCGTGTTTTGGCATGCAATTGATGGGCGCCATGAGACGGCAGTGGAAGCAGCTTATTGGAGCAGTCTGCATACAGATACAGGCAGATTGCAAAGGTTGGTGTCATTGCAAGCAAAACACTAGCGAGTTCAATTGAGGTTATTTGTACATACAGTATTCTCCCCTTAATTTCATTTTGGATATATGTACCGTAGTGTTACTCAGCAAGGATACTTCTGTTAACAAGGCAGCTCAGCTGGTTAGAGTGACAGTATAATGATGATAGATCTAGGGTTCGAATCCTGGTCTAGCCTGGTTGTATTTTTACATTCTGAACACTTTTTAAACCTTTTTTAATTAGTTTATGTCATTTTGATGATTATTTTTAATGAAAGTGTCGTGTGTATGAGCTCTGGGCCCAGTTGTTCAACAGGTGGTTAGCTTAATCACTGTTAAATGACATTTTTCAACCTTTGATAATTTCGTCAATATTCAAGGTAAAATCTCACAATTTTGTATTTGAATTCACTCTACTAAATATTTGATATCTGGAAAGTTGTGTCTAATTCAATAGTTTTGTTTTAAAGTTACACACAAATTAAAATTTGTGCTAATCACCAAATAAGCTTATCACCTTTTGAACAACTGGACCCTGGTCATACCTGGAATAATGTTTCAGTACATATTTATGGCTTTTGGCATTGATATGGAAATCCTTAAGCTTGGTAATTGCGGCTTGTTAAATTAATATATTTCTCATCTTAAATGAACACAAGATTGCATTGATAACACATTCTTATTTGGTTATTCTGGATATCGTAACATTATGTAACTGAAAAGCTTTTTTATGGACAAAAACTACATTATTTGTTTATATACCATCAAAGTTATATGTGTAAGATAGCATATCTCCTTAACCCTTTCACCACTGTAGACCATAATGGACTCATCCAGATCAATGGATGGTAGAGTCTAATACAGTTACCTAGGGGTGACAGGGTTAAGGTTGTGCATATACAAGTAAACTTCGGCATAATTGGTATCATATCATAGCATAATGAAATATAGCTTAATCTAAGATGTATACTGGGTAATGTTTGACATAATACTCCATACAACTTTGATTTCGGGCAGTGTTATTTTTGTATTATTGTCAGGATTTTTTATTTTTTGTGCAGTGTAGAAAGCAAGTCGGGTCCTTATGTCTATTTTTTTGGTTGATACTTGCTTGGAAAAGTGTGTTATGCATATTTATCTCTCTACCAAGGTTATAATGCATGTGAAGACTTGAAGTGTGTAATTGGTCGAGCATAATACAGCAATATTTCAAACCGAAACTCTCTGTCTTTAGTATCAAACTACATCTTACACCAATGCCGGGGGCAAAACATTTTGCTCCATTGTTAAATTCGTAGTTGAACTTTCCGTGACAGCGTAAAAATAACACTGTCGGAAAAAAATGCGCAGTGCACAGTATATTGATTGCTGTTCAAAAATAAAGAAAAATAAACTTTTTGATCAGTTTTATTCTGATTTCAGAAAAAAACAATTTTTAACTACAAAATCAATGACCATTTATTGATTTCTGACAATATTCTGACCCAGTATACACAAAACTGGGCCACTTTTATCCGGTTCAACCGTTTCAACCTATTGAACTTTGATCTAAAATTCATAACGGTACAGATAAACACATATGGTAAGAACTGCTGGTCACTAAAAAAATTGGCATGTTAATGGGTCCAGCCCTGTCTCGCCAAAAACAAATGGCTGATAATTACCAGTTTGTATTATTTCTACATAGCACATGGTCAATTCAGGTATATATTTTACGGTAATTTTATAAAATTGAATGCATGGAATACATGGAGAGTGAAGCATACAGATTTCTTATATATTGCTATCTATTTGACAGAAAATGTGCATTTTGAGCTCCGCTAATAAGGTTCGGCCACTTCTGATCAAAGTGAGTTTGTTTATCACAGAATATTTCTGTGCTAACTGGACCAGATTAACCGGATAAATGAAATTTGCCCTTGTGTCTATATTGTGACAGAGTATGCAGTGTTGGAACATAATGGTAGACCCATAGACTATAAGACAATCACAGTCAAAAACACTGTAGGTCTAAAGGAATAAGATTCTTCATAGACCAAGATGACTAGAAGCTGTTTCCAATGATGTATATGATTCAATGGTAAATATAGTAGTGAGAGATGAAGTCTTCTGTGAAATTATTTTTCTCCCGTTATTCTTACAGATATTTTCTTTATTTCCTGTTATTGAACACTTAAATATACGGGTAAAAGTATCGGATCTCTCTGAATTTCAGTAGGTCTATAAGAAATCTGTATCTCACAGACCTATTGTCTATGGTGTGCAGATCCTAAATTCTAAGACTGTACACAGGGGCTGCAGTGGCCAAGTGGTTAAGGCGTCTGACATTCTGCTACCACTAGCCCCCCACCACTGGGTCGCGGGTGCGAGACCTACGTGGGGCAGTCGCCAGGTACTGGACGTAGGTTGGTGGTTTTTCTCTCCGGGGAACTCCGGGTTTCCTCTACCATCAAAACCTGGCACGTCCTTAAATGACCATTATAGCTGTTAATAGGACGTAAATCACAAACAAACCAAACTGTTCGCAGCATTGTGTTAATACATTCTGAGCACATAGAAACGAAAAAGCATCACAGATGCTTGCATTAATTGAGATTATAATTATTTATACAGAGGTAGTTTTAACATCTCTGTACAAATCAGTTATAATTAGGGTTGGCAAACCGGACGAATTTTAGTAACCAGCTACTATATCAATCATCCGACCGAGTAACCTATTAATTGGTCAATTTTGTAATCAAACAATTACAGCAATGGATACATTATATGTTTAGCACATTTTCCATTCAAAATGAACTAACATTCATATATATTAATTTTTCATGATAGTTTACTCATCTCATGTATTTAAAGCCTGTCAACACCCAAATGAGCTACCCATGGGGGTAATTGAATGTCCCTGACTATTCAGTTATTGATTTTGGTAACTGGTTCAGGGTCTTTCGACTGTGAAACCGTTCATAACCCTAGTTATAATTATCACTTAGTGTTTTGTCCACTTTTTCCATACAGTGAGTCATTCAATGTAAAATTCACGAATTTCAAAAATTCAGAAAGTAAAATTTAAAAACATGAGTACATGTATTTGACTCATTGGTGAAGAAAAACACTGTTTATGAAAGCACAGCCAAAGCTCCACAATCCAGCCACTTATCATTCAGTTGTCTCACTATAAACTGCCACTGATTTTGGAAAACATAGACCCTTTTTCCCCCTCCAAAATTGTCTCGGTAATGCACAGTCAAGGTGTTTTTTGCTGAGAATGAAGGTGACTGGATTACCGGGACTCAATTATTAGATGTGTCACAATTCACCGCGATGCACTATTACAGCAATTAGTTGCAATCAATTTCGTTTCACGATACTTTTTCTTAATTTTGGATGCGTCATGATTCGACCGTTAGTACTAGTGTTTGCCATTTCAGCGTAAGTTTCAACTTAATAATCAGTGATAGGATAACAATCTTCATAAAAATATCTGCCCATGGGGGTAAATAAATGTCCCTGGCTACCAAAAATGGTAGATGGTCCATTATTGATGCTCTAGGAAAAACTCAAATATTAGGTATGAACACATTTTCAGTTCCGTGTATCGAGGTTAAAGTCAATAAACATGGCAAATATAAAGGAAAGACAATCAAAGACTGGACACAGCAAGGCAAGTGGAGATATATTGACTGAATATTCATTTAACATAATGTGTACATCCTTGATACTCCAGGGGTTACGCACACTTATACACGATCTCTACACCCCTGGAATATGTCAAACGAATCCCACTTAGCGCAACAGTAAAATTGACTGCCTTTTAAGTCGGGTGTTGCTTCTTTGTAATCTCCAAAGGACAGGTATCGACCTAGGTTACTTTTTTTACCGGAGACCAATCAAATAGCTAACCGCGTCCCTTCTATCTTGCTATAACATATTCCCGGGGTGCAGAGAACGAAAGTGAGCGTAACCCCCTTGAGTATCAAGGATGAACTTGGTTGAAACAACAAAAGATGTCACAAGCTTTAAATCTTGAGTTATGTAAAAATAAAAATGTTTGAAGCTAACAATTCTCATTATTGTTTTTATTTGAATCTAAGTATTTGAACAATGACACTAATATAATGATATGTATCAAATCATGAGGAAAGAGCAGTGTGACAGCTCGATCCATCAATATTTTCCTCAGCAGGAACGAGACTAGTCAGGTGTAAATCAGTGTTGATTACGGAAATGTGCGCCAGATCAAACAACTTGACTTAAATACAAATTTTAATGAAGAATGATCATAGTACTTAGTAGCATTATCGTTAACCATGACAAAATTGAATTATTTATCCTTTTTTTGCCAATTCCATGATTCAATGAGAAATTGAACATCATCCATGATTTTTCAAAATAGCACAGGTGGACGACTCAAAGTTACACTTCCAGCAGCTAAGAAATATTCTGCATAGATCTTGGCATATTCAAAACAACCCTTCATGTCTATAATGGCTACAGGTGCAATCTTTAAAAAATCTACATTATTTGGAAATGATGAGATATACAGATCTTCTTTTATGTACGTGAACATATATATGAAACTCAAAAGCACAAATTAGGTCTGCTGCACAGGACTTTCACAGGATTCAGGTCTGTTGCAGAATCTTTTCATAGACATGGGATTCTGTTCCATGGTGAAAGCAGAGCTGTTTGTAAACCTGGTACAGACCGACCAGCCTGTGATCACAAAGAATATCTCTGAAGCTGTGGAAAGCCGAGAAAATCTTGGTCCAAGCCCATCAGGACTGATCTGATTGCTAAATTGAGAGATAGCCTTGCCATCCTATAACCACACAGTTCTCTGGTGAATCAAAATGAAAATTGGATGTCCGGAAGGATTGTCAGACACCCGTATCAAAAAGGATGCCCTTTGTTTGACCTTGTAGTCAGTCCTCCATTTTGTACAAGTATGCAGAGATACTCCTGAAATTTGCACAATGCTTAGGCGTTTGTGGTCAGTGGGCAGTTGCACATATGTAAACATATGTATACACATCTCAGTCAAATCTTGATGTACATCGATAGGCATACAGATGACTGATGCTTTTTAATGAGAGACTGGGTTGGATAAGGTGATCTCAAATGCCAAACTTTGCAGGAGTCCTTCGAGGTGTGTGTGCAGGTGTAGCAGGGTCTTTCAGACCAGGTGTAGCTATGTTTGTGCTGTAAATAAGGCAACATTCATTATGTAAAATGTCTTTACTATCATATTATCATTAAGTTAAGAAACTGTATAAATATCTAGCAATAAGCCCATGTCTGTTAAAAAGCCAATCCATGTCAGCAGAAATATTATTGTCCTCCAATAAAGCCCCTACCCTATGTTGAGTCGGCTATGTTTTTGCCCCCATCCCTACCCCCGGGCTAATTGCAGGATAAATAGTGTATCATCTCTTAACTTGACATATACATGTATTATGATGCATCAAAATCCTCAGTAATCTTTAATTAATTGAATATGATATTCTTTGTCACACATAAGTGTTATTTTATCATAAACTGTCCAAAGAATTACGACGATTTGTATAGATAATTGGCAGAATACCGTACCCTTTGCCAGTAAGGCTTTTAGCATCCTGGTGTTCTTTCCGAGCACGAATTAATTCCTCTGCACGTTTCATTTCTTCCTCCATTGCATTCATTTCCTCCACTGCCACTTTCTTTCTTTCCTGTAAAACATCCCAGTTATTATAAATCACTATTTCTGTTTTCTTTCTCACAAACCATATCAATTATAATTCTTTATTACATACTTACAGTTTTTTTTGTTTATGCGATACGACACAATTGCTCTATCCCATATCAACCCTCGCCGTATCACACCCCAAAACCTGTATCAGCCTTCTCTATCAGCCCGCAAAACCTGTATCACATCCCTTTAGGAAAGTTTTCATTTTTCAATATTTCAAAAGAAAAATAGTTTATAAGATAAATCTGTCTGTATTTTAATAGTAAGTATGTAATAAGCTGAATAAAACCCTAGACCAATATCAGCCCAAGGGCTGAGGGCTGATATTGGAGTCTGGGGTTGATACTGGGTGTGATATGGAAAAAGGCATGTATTTTTCTCTTTTTCCCGTAAAATATCTCAAATATATTCCAATGCACCTATCTTATCCTTTGCCAAATAACCTGGGGTATCCCAGTGCATTGACACACAAATGGGAACTTATATGAGTGACCTTACAGATTGCCTTTGTTTAGGACACTAATTAAGCTAGATTTGTTCTGCTGAACCCCTGTAATTCTGCATTCTGCCCTGTTTCTACAATACTTTTACTTCAGTGTCTGTCTATGCACACAAAGTGTTGACCTGCTTTGTGACCTGGAATTACCTCATTGTGTTGATGCGCCTTTAAGTCTTAAATAAATAATAAATTTATTTAAGTCTAAAAGGCATGACCATAGCTTTGATAAATCATTTCTGAAAAGGAAATCATTAATGCCCATTTACACAAGATACGACCAATTCTGCAGTTTTCAGGAAACAAACAATCAATTCCTGAAAACACCAGAATTGGTTGAATTGGTTGTATCTTGTACAGTCAAACGTATTATCTCCCTTGATCCATGAATGATGGGCCTGAACAATCTTTGGGGGACAGAAAGACGGAGTCTGTACTTAAGGATCCCAGTCCAACTGCTCTGTGGGTTCTTCTATACACAGTTACCTCCCCTTAACTTCCGCTTGGATATAACTGTAGAACAGTTGGGTCAGGACACTTCCGATGACCAGGTAAGGTAGCTCAGTCGGTAAGAGCGACAGTGTAACAATCTGAAGTTCGGGGTTGGAATCCCGGTCTGGCCCCACTAAATGTTCACACTCAAAACACTATTGTTGATTATATTTTGTTTATTTCCTTATAAATATTTCTCATAAAAGTCCTACAAGGTATGTTTTTCTTTTCAGAAATTATTTATCAAAGCTATGGTTATGCCAGAAAAATCAGTTTCCAATGTTTCCTAAAGCTTTTTGGCAGTGGTACGGGGATCCTCAATACATAAGATTGAACATTGTCCGATTTTTTTTTATCTATAGTCCTCTGGAGGTACTGGTTGGGGATTAATGTATTTATTGATCATGGCAGCATGGTGATGTTTGAGTAAATGTACCTGTCTAGTCTTGGAAGCATCCTTGATGCTGTAAAACATAGGTCCCAGCTCGGCTAGCCAGTGACCGTCCACAGAGGTTACACACTGCATGTATTCCTGTATAAAAACAAACAATAACACATTTTATTACTGCAAGAAGTTAACTCTACATTATCTATTTAATAGAATTGCTGAATATTGTAATTTACCAAACAAGAAGGAGGTTATTATTGTAGAGTGAAAATCATAAAATTCCCAAATGCCATCTCCGTACGCACAACCTGAATCTTCAGTGTGGATAACCGAGAATTCATTAATAATATTTATCAATTTTCACAACTTTTTTACTTCAAATGATTTACTATAAAAAAATGTTTTGTTGTCCCCAATTTCAGCGGAATAGCTCAAACGATAAATTCTGTTATTTTGTTTTTGTATATTTCAGGTTATTGCATGTGCTATGGTAAGGATGAACAAGTTGCTGTTAATTTCACAGAAATATTGCAGAAATATTGTTTTCCATAATAATCCCAAAAATAAGGACACCACAAAAATGATATGTTATTCATGATAATAAGAATTTCAAAAAGTCTTTAGTAAGATAATTGATGGAGCAACAACACCCAGGATTCTATTATGGTAGACTTTTTGTTTATTTATTTTTATTAATAATAAAGATCTATAAATATATATTATATACAGGTGGTTTCTTTATTCAGGCTGATACTCCAATAGTTACGCTCACTTACGATCTCTGCACCCCTGGAATATGTCATAGCAAAATTCAAGGCACGTGGCTAGTTATTTGATTGGTCTCGGGTAAAAAATACTTGACCAATCGCTAGGCTAATACCTGTTCTTTGAAGATTACAGAGGAGAGACATCAAACTTCAAAGTAATGTCCTTAAATGACCTTAGCTGTAAATAGGACGTTAAACAAGGTAAACCAAGACTGTAAATTTTACCATTACACCGCCCCGGTATTCATTTGATGTTGATCAAAAGATCAAACTAGTGCTCTTGTCTCCTCCATCGGGAGGTGCACACTGAGCCTTCGATATTGCTGTGACATTCCAGGGGTGCAGGGAGTGTAAGTAAGCATAACCCCTGGAGCATCGAGAATGAATGAAATCACTGCAATGGGGAAAAGTAAAAGAGGTCGCTTAGCACAGGTGGTCTTTTAACGGAGGTGTCTGAATGAGCAGGTTTGACTGTATTAATCTCGGTTTTGACTAAGGGTACATTCGCGTATCCGGTTGAAACGGTTGAACCGGTTGAACCTGTAAAGAAAACGACAGGTACAGATTTGGACCGAGGCTGACCTCAGGAAAATTTTGTACGTGTAGATTGAGGGGTCCAGACGTACCTGACCGAAACTAAAATGCTGACTATTGCCAATTTGCGTTATTTCTTTCTTAAACAATGTCAAGTCACATGTAATTTTTAAGATACGTTATTTAATTTAGTGGACGCGTGAGAGAAGGATATAATATTCTTGATACATTGTTTTTTATTCTCCGAAACTGTGGATTTTTAGCCCTACATCTAGAACGGTCCAAGTGTGTTCGTTTATCGTGGAAAATTTCTGCGCCACACGTACCGTTTCAACCGGGATAGCGAATGTAGCCAAAGACTTTTGTACATACCTTGGATGTCATGATGAGTTCGTGGTACACAATGTAGTCAGGGGTGTAGCCCATACCAAACAAGGCACTGGTCGGATGCAGATGGCATGGCATTCCTGTCCGCACGTTCACATACTCGCCTATGCCCTGTAAAACAATGTTTGTACATATAGTTGCCTGTTAATGAGAACTTTTACAAGTACATTTAACAGAACCTACCATTATCCTCTGAAAAGTAAAGACCTTTAACCTTAATAAACTACAGAAACAATTGCTTGACTTTTGACCTCATATGTGTTGAAATTCTTGAGTTACATGAAATCTGGTGCGAAGATCATGAAATGCTCTTAAGTCTAAAATTGTCAAAAGTTTTGACTTAGACAATCACAAATAATTGAAAAGTGACATCATACGTAATTGGCTAAACAAAATTTTAGTCAAAGATTGTTTCATGATCTCGGAGTCTATAGTCATTATGCCATAATGATGAATTTCATAACCAAATCTGAGGGATCTTAAGGGTCAATGGACCCACACACTAAAAATTAATGACCAAAGTGATCACCATAAACCCTCTTTTTACCATGTAGAGATTAGTACAACTGTATACAAGAAAGGTCAGAAGAAGACTAGAAAATGCGTGTAAGACATGAATGCCCCCAATCGTCATGTGAAAGCCTTGACTGTGGAACCCTAAAACACAGAGATGTCAGAGGTACACTGTATTCTCATACTTGACCTTTGTATAAAGTTTGATCAAAGTGAATTGGCTGATAATTTTCTATAAATAAAAAATGGTGACCTTGGCCTTGATATTGCAATCCTAAAACATGAACTAATCTAATGTATTCGCCTACTTTCGGCACTTGTATAAAGTTTGATGAAAATCTTTCAAAGAAGTGAAGTTGTTAGAGAGTTTACATTGGATCGTGACGGAAAGGGATGGGACAGATATGCCCCCCCCCCCCTCCCACCCAATTTAATGACAGGGGCATAAATAGAAGTAGAGGGAAGCATACTGACTGACCTTCAGCCTGGCGGCCTGATGGAAGTAAGAAGAACAGATGCACTTCCTTACGATGTCCCATTCATTGCCGGTAGAGATGAGCTCCATCTTCTGTTGGTCCATTATCTCCTTCAGTTGTTGACGTACCTCCCGCACCTTAAAATATACAGGAGAATTTCAGACATCAACTCTACATACTAATGCATAAATATATACATGTATAGAAATATACAGTAGAATTTCAGACATCAACTTATAGTTAAAAACAATAATAAACCATATATTTTTTGTTTTGTTTTAATATAATGTACGTGTTCTGTGTTTTTCTGTGTCTCGATAAAGAAGCGGATTGCTGTAAAAAATTTGACAACTTCATATTGTCTACAATGTACGAATTACTGCCTTGCTCCATATACTATTTTTCATCAATTTGTATCCTACAGATGTATGTTTGTAAGGATCCAGCATTATTGGGAATTAATTATTGAAATAATATTCCTCTATTTGTTGAGAAGGAGATTTTATTTTTTAAAGATTTATCAATTTTCCTCCTATTTGGCCCCGCCCCTCTGCCCCCAGGGGGACCATACCCTCCGTTTATACAAAACTGAGAACCCATTGGCCAATGATGCTCTAGACCAAATTTGGTCAAAATCCTCTGAACCGTTAAGGACTAGTAGCGTTTTAAAGGAAATGGTTGACGGACGCTGCGCCATGGCATAAGCTCACTTGGCCCTTCGGGCCAGGCGAGCTAAAAATCTTTCCCTGGCTGGAAGTGAGAATATCTCTGTCAGATGGGGAAAGAATGGCACCAGTCCTTTTTGTAGAAAGGACACTATATATTTAAAGATACTGAAAAGCATTGATTGAAATGGAAATTCCTTTTTGTAAACAAAACATAGTCTCCCCGTATTAGCATATATATATATATTAGACAACTGTAAACATACTTATATTCGCAAAAACTCGAATTTCAGCACTTTTGCAAATTTTAGCATGTTAATTAATTGGTGACATCACAATATTCAAATTTTAACAGATTAGCATCTGAATTAATCGAAAATATTACAATAATGAATTGGCGATATTACAATATATGTAATAGAACTCTATATTATATTCAGAAACTGCAATTAGCACAGCTGTAATTTAGGGCAACGCTTTAAGCATTAAAAGTGCTAAAATAACATTACCGCGAAAGTATTGAACTTTTGACCTAGAGGTGACGTGCAGGTTTGTCAGGCTTATTCATTCCTGAAATATCACATTTAGAAATAGATGCGTATTTAAGTCTCCATAATCAAACTGGCCCCAGGTAATGTATACTTGTACTTGGTGTTGTAAACACTGCTGGATACTACACACCTTTCTCATGGCTTTGATATGGATGAAGTGTTCATTGCACCAGCTGGCTGAATATCTGAAACAGAAATACAAAACTAATTATGTTCAGTAAAAACCTCGATATAATGCCCCTCGTTTACCGCCAACATATTGTGGTATACAGGCATAGATGTGCATAATTACCAAACTTCCCAATCTGGGCCCAGTTGTTCAAAAGGTGATTAGCTTAATCAGTGATTAGTGCAAATTTTAATTTTCATGTATCTTTAAAACAGATCAATTGAATTAGTTACAACTTTCCAGATATCAAATATTTAGTAGTGTAAAATTTACAGGCACAATTGTGAGGTTTTACCTTGTATATTGACGGAATTAATAAAGGTTGAAAAATGTCGTTAAAAAGTGATTAAGCTAACCACCTTTTGAACAACTGGGCCCTGGATTACTGTAACACAATTATCCCAACTCAAAGGCCACAGGGGCCCTTTTCTCAAAGTAATGAATAGAAATGCCCAGTGGGTTAACTTCATGTAATGGTTAATTTATAGAAACAGGGTTAGACACTAATTCTTTTTGCTTGGTAGTCCACAGGACTTAAGCTAGCTGAATAGAATAAGATTATTTACTAGTCCTTCGTCAATGTAACTAGTCCCAGGTTTCCTGATAAGGAACCATCGCGATCTACAGCACGAAACATCAAAAGTAGGGGACAGTCCCTGGGACTCAAAATAACTACTGTCATAAAAATATGGTGAAGTTTTAGGAACATTTTGACAATTATCATGCAATTTATCTTATTTTAAGCAGTTTTCTAAATTTTAAAAAGAAGTACAGTCGAACCTCGTTATCTCGAACTCGTATAACTCGAAGACCCCGTTTAACTCGAAGTATTTCATTGGTCCCGGCCAAAACTCTTCTTAATCTTAGTAATAAAAACTCTGATAATTCGAACTCTGAAAACTCGAAAAACTCGGATATCCCGAAGTGAAACATAGGTCCCAACAACGTAAATCCTACATAAAAATATCTCCTACCTCGAAGTTTCTTAAGATTCACAAGTCTATCATGTATTCTTTAATTATTTGATACCTATTAGTGCTACGGTAAACATCGTTCTAAATGAGCAGCCTACGCTCGGTCATAATTACTTCTATTTAACTTATGGCATTAAAATGTGCTTGACTGTAAATACACTTTTTTCAAATAAAGAAACAAACTTCATCAATGTTGATTAACAACAATTAGTACTCACTGCGAGCCCATAAACAATTTGAATAGTACTTTATTTACACCAAAGCTGCCGACACATTCTAACCGGAAAATGGGTCACAGTGTGCGGTCATGCGTAAATAAGCTCCACAGTAAAAATCACAACCTAGGACTGGTTCGCCGGTTTATGTTTTTACAGGAGCTTGTATGGCACTGATTACTAATTGAGAGATTATAGGAACAATACGATAATTATTGTTGAGTACGTCGTGTTGAGGAGATGTCAAGTGTCACTGGAGTGTATCAATGTGAATATGTTTCTTGATTAACTCATACCCATTTGTGGAATGTCGAAATCAACTGAGCAATCCAACGTGTACGCTCCAGTACAGTGATTTGTGTAAAGACTTGCGCACTTTCATTTCCGCATTGATATTTCTATCAGCATAGCACGAGGTCGGAGACAGCATGTGTGTTTATTGTAATATTAATTAATTAATTAATATGATTATGAATAAGTTGTTATTTTTTATTTTATATAGTTATCTTTTTGTCATTTATCCGACTGTTTAAATACGTTGATTGTCAGAGAAATCAATGACATATATAGCCTCATATTGTTAGCAAGCTTTATGCCAAACATAGGAACTCGCTTAACTCGAATACTCGGATAACTCGAAGTTTCCCAACGATCCCGTCGACTTCGAGATAACGAGGTTAGACTGTATTCTTATTTTTTTATCATATTTTTCACAAGTCCAAAGACCAGTTAGGTAAGGTGATTTACTAGTCCTTGCTGAAATCTACTAGTCCAGGACTAGCGGACTAGTGTTAGTGTCAAACCCCTGAGAAAGTGTCTTGTTTCTTACGCATTTCGTTTCCACTGCTCATAGACATTGAGGAAGGTGAGGTGGTCACTCTCCGGGACCTGGAACTTCTCCCTGGCTGCGTCAGAGTCCTCTTCCCGACCTTTAGGGCGGTAGAAAATGGCTGGTACCGACAGCATGGACACAATGATCTACAACGATATTCAGAAGATATATTTGTACATTATAATTATTGATATTGGGACAATTTGTCTGCATCATGTAAATACTGTGAGGCCAGGAAAGTAGAAAAAAACAAATTGAAAGTCTTTATATAAAGGATTTTTTCATATCCAGATTTTTTTTGTGAATTCAAAATGTAAGACCGCTGATTGACAGACACTACTTTCCAATTTCTATCCAGACAGTTCATAAATAGTTCATAGTACAGCCGCACACATGTGTTAAATTAAACCCTTGTATTTTACTAATATACCTACATTGTATCAATGAAATTGAAAGTTTTTTTTATAGATAGTAAAAGAAAGGAAGTTTTTAGGTTATTTCGATATTCAGCAAAAAGCACAAACATTCTTTGTAAGCTTTTGTTAAAAACCATCAGTTTGAAAAGGCCATATTAAATATCCCTGTCCCACTACAGTTTTTTTTTTTTTTTTACTATATTCAGTTAACTCCCCTTAACTTCTGTTTGCAGACAACAGTAGCACAGTTTGGCCCGAGGACACTTTTGTTGGCCAGGTAGCTCAATCAGTTAGATCGATAGTATATCAATCTGAAGTCCTTGGTTCGAATCCCAGTCTAACCCTACTGTTATTATTTTTTTAAATGAAAAACACTTGTTGATTATATTTTGTTTATTTTGAATTTATTATTTTCGCAAAAAAATCCTGTATGGTTTTCTTTTCCAACACTTCGGTAAACAATTTTGGCAGTGGTACGAGGACCCTTAAGTGAAATAAAAAAACCAAGGTCATATCAATGTAGTTATATGCTATTGTATGTAAAACATCTGTGGTAAAGAGTAAATGTCGGGTAGATACTTCCAGCATAAGTAATCCACTTCATATGCAAAATCATGAACAGGAAGTATTTTAATCAGGTCAATGTAAGTTTTCCGTGTGACGATACATACAATACATATATTAAAACCAGACCAACTATTCTATGTGTCTATAATGCTCAGAAAAAGGGATGCTCAATTCATTCACCCCTGAAATTTTATAATGAACTATTCCAACCTCTGAATTGGAAGAGTTCAAATGTGTCTTCAGGGGTGAATGTGCCTACTGGAAAAGCTTGAAGGTAACTTGACTAACCGAGTAACCAAAGAGAGGGTACAGAGATTGACTAACCCAATTCAGCCCAATTCCAATGAATTTTTATTTTTTATTTTTTTTAAATGAAACAATCCTTGATAAATAGGGATGTTTTTGTCTATTTAAATAACGATCTTAAAGAGGCAAGAAAAGTACCTCTTTGAATTTAAATAAAGAGTAAACAAGAGATAAACCAGTGTTACATATTTAATTCGGTACTGACTCACACAGAGAATATACGACAATGATTTTTCTCAATGACATCAGGGGCTGTTTCACCAACCTGCCTGGAAAAAGCCTGCAAAGCTGACTTTAGTCTGGGTTTTTTCTTCTAACAATGTTGAACAAATTACAATGTACACAGAACTGTAAACTTTACGAGGATTATGCAAATGTGATACTTAACATACTGTTAATGTAGTGTTAGCCTACAGGAGACACTCTATATAATCACATACCCAGGTGAGTTTTATAGATTTTCACCTGATACAGGTACTTCAAGTGCTCTTATTAATCCAGAACAGAATCTATGTATAAACTAAAATGTAGGTTACAAATGCCCTTCTCAATCCTTTATTCCCCACAGTACCTAGTAATGGACTGTACAGAGCGGAGCTAAATCTTCTTTTTAAATGTTTGGGAGTCTACCAAGATCAAACTTTAAGATAACCCAGTATTTTACTACATCTAAATGTTACTTTAAGTATTTTTCCATGATTCATGTGTGAATTTTGATGCTATTAATAATTATTATTATTATATTATTACAATATTATTACTATATAAAATCTTTTTAATCAGAAATCTACTACACTAGTTACAAAATAACCTATGTTGTTACCTGCATTGTTAAAAATCTTAATTAATTTTAGATTAATTAATAAATCTTAATTAAGATACTGTGCTTATTTGAACTTTGGCCTGAGTTGCCATCCAGAACAGTTTCCCTTCTTCTCCTTAACAAGTACATCAGTAAGAAGCCATCATTCATAACTGAATCTTGCCTCTTATAGGTCATTTCAATGATAAACAAATCATCTTCCAGTCTCATCATGCCTGTACATATATATGTTTGATTTGTCTGTGTTTTATGTCCTATTAACAGCTATGGTCATTTAAGGACGTGCCAGGTTTTGGTGGTGGAGGAAAACCATGAGTTCCTTGAGAAAAAACACTGACCTACGGCCAGTACCTGGCGACTGCCCCACGTAGGTCTCGAACCCGCGACCCAGTGGTGGAGGGCTGGTGGTAGCAGAATGCCACCGCTGCCCCACATATATATGTACAAATGACCTTGAACACCTGAGTTGGGTATGTTTTGTACTGGTCATCGAAATTGATCGGAACACCTCAAGTTTCTATATATTTTAATAAGCATTTCATTCGGATCCCCTCGACACATTTCTTTCGGATCCCCTCGACACATTTCATTCGGATCTCCTCGACACATTTCATTCGGATTCCTTCGACACATTTCTTTCGGATCCCCTCGACACATTTCATTCAGATCCCCTCGACACATTTCATTCAGATCCCCTCGCCCCATTTCATTCGGATCCCCTCGACACACTTCATTCGGATCCCCTCGACACATTTCATTCGGATCTCCTCGACACATTTCATTCGGATCCCCTCGACACATTTCATTCGGATCCCCTCAACACATTTCATTCGGATCCCCTCAACACAGTTCATTCGGATCCCTTCGACGCATTTCATTCGGATCCCCTCGACACATTTCATTCGGATCCCCTCGACACATTTCATTCCAATCCCCTCGACAGGTAGTGCTTTCAATGGCTGATCCAACACAAACGCATTATTTATCCATTACCTAAAGCCTTACAATTATAACATAGCCCTGTAAATGCAAGATATTATTGCCCCAGTACCTATACTATCAATAACACATTTTTGCTGGAAATCTTCACTAGATATTCTGAACAATAAAGCGATTTAAGGGTACGATCCTAAATGATGTCATTTTCTGTCATTTATATTTGGCTGAAGTTTTTGGGAAGCAAATTGAACCTAAACACGGGGTAGCAATAAGTAATGTTTTAAAGAAGACGTATGTTGCTTTGAGTCTTTTGTGTATAAAAGTATATTATGATTATAAAGAACAACAAGAGGCCCAAGGGCCTTAGCGGTCACCTGAGTTATATCATAGGTACTGGCAGCTTTATTTTATTGTTTAGATGTGATTTGGAAATCAGCATGTAAACTAAGTGAAATACAATACTTGTCATGTCATCAAAGGATAAGAATTTGAAAATATTGGTAAATGTTCCCTTTGGGGCCCCCACCCTAGCCCCTGGGGATGGGGCAGGAATCCCAATTTTACAAAGTAATACTCTCATTCTCCAAAGATGATTCTGACTAAGTTTGAGTAATTTTCTGTTGAAAATGGATAAAATATATACCCAAAAGTGTTATTTTCCTATATAAACTATAGTAAACTTTACCCCCTCCCCAAGGGAGAACGGACAGCTCGGGGGTTCTGAAATTTACGATTTAAATAAAGCCCCTGATGATTTTCTTTCCATGCAGAGAAAATGAATGTAGTACCTTTGAGTCTGGAGAAGAAGATTTTTGAAATATTGGTTAATTTTCCCTTTTGGGCCCCGCCCTGGCCCCAGGGGTTGGGGTAGGAATCTCAACTTTACAATTTTGTAGCCTCATCTACCAAGGATGATTCTGACCAAGTTTGAAAAAAATACCTCCACTGGTTCTTGAGAAGAAGTTGAAAATGTAAAAAGTTTACGCACGACACACAACGGACGGAGGACGACGACGGACGGAAAGCGATTAGAATAGGTCACTTGAGCAAAGCTCAGGTGACCTAAAAATAGTATGCATGCAATAATAGCAATACCAGATGTGTTAATTTGACAACTCAGATTGGGCTCATTCATTGCGCGAATGGATCATTATTTCACTCTGGCTTGAAAGCCCTCAAGAAGTATATCCACACACACCAAGCAGCCTCATGCAACTAAAATGTCAGATGAACACGTATGTGTGTGGTATGGTTTGTTTATACGAAGTAAGTACATGTCCACCAATATATTTATTTCCTGAGATTGGAAGTTATCTCTTCGCTTCAGCTTGACCTACATAATAGTCTTTTAAGTGGAACATGGCTTTCTGCCCTACAAAATTCCAACCTTTTTTCATGTGAAACATACAAGTTTGAATGACTATTCATTTATGTATCTATCTATAACAATCGACCCTGTAAGTCTACTCCCAGGCTATCTATTTAACGGCATATGTTGGTCAAACATACGTTTTAATCGACTGGCTCATTCGCACATCCTGTCACTTTGGTTAATATCCAGAACTATTGGAATGTAACAGGGATTAGAGAATAGTGTTCTTTCAGCGAGGATCGAAACAGTGACCCCAGGTCTCCAGTCTGCGACAGGGATAAGAGAAATATAGTGCACTTCTACTGGGGATCGAAACAGTGACCCAAGGTCCCCAGGTCCCCAGTCTGCCACATGGATAAAAGAATAGTACACTTCTACCTGGGATCGAACGAGTGATCTCATTTAAGGTTCCCGCAGTCAGCCGCTCTACTGATTGAGCTAATGGGAAATTCCTCCTAACGTAAAGTTAAAAGGGGACCGTGACCAATTAAAACCTGCTACAGTAGTCAAACTATGGTCATATCCAAAATCCAATATCAAGGGGAGGTTACTGTATATTGTATAAAAAAAATCTTGAGCGAAATTCTCTCATGTTTTGCTTGCAGTAGGACACCTGGGCCCGTATTCATGAAACCATTCTCATGCTCAAGCATGGATTTTGTGCTCAAACAAACTTTCATATAACTCACTTAAATCATGCCAAATGATCTAAAAGTCAAATGT